GCATGCACCATGTATTAAAGAGGCTATCTTTCCTTCAGTACATGTTTTGTCAAATATCAGAGCAGTTGAATTGCCTAGGGTTGATTCCCATCTTGCATTCTGTTCACTTGATCCACATGCCTGTTTTTGTGACAGTCCTATGTTGTTAGTATCACTATATCTTTGTGATATAAGCTGAAGTCCAGAATTACATTACCTCCTCCTTCGCTCTTGTTAAACAGGATTGCTTTTGCTATTCTCTGTCTCCTGTGGTTCCATATGAATTTTAGAATTGTTTACATAATTCTGTGAGGAATGCTGTTGATGCTTTGACAGGGATTGTGTTAAATATGTGTATCACTTTTGGAAGTATGATCATTTGATTAAATTGGTTCTGTCTATCCAGGAAGATGTCTCTTGATATCTTTTCATTTTTTGATGTCCAGTGTCCTTTTCCAGAGTTCTTATGTAGTTTTTATTATAGAGGTTTTTTACTTACTTGATGAGGTTAATTCCTTAGTATTTGATTTTATTTAATGTTATTATGAATAAAATTGTTTACCTAATTTATTTCTCAGTGAGTTCATTATTCATGTACGGGGAACACTATTGATTTTATGTGTCAGTTTTGTATGCTGCTACATTGTTGAATTTGATTATTAATTCTAGGAATCTTTTGGTGATTTTTTTTGGTCTTCTATGTAGAAAATGATGTTATCTGCTATGATAATTTGATTATTTTCCTATATAAATAACTCTCTTTTTTTTTTGCTTTCTCTTGTCTGATTTTTCTGGCTAATGTTTCAAGTACAGTATTGAACAGGAGTGGTAATAGTGGACATTCTTGTCTTGTTTCTGATTTTAATGGGAAAGCTGTCAGTTTTTAATATGACATTTAATATTATGTTGGCAATAGGTTTGGCATAGATGTCTTCTATTAGTTTAAGAAAAGATTCTTTTATACCTATTTTCTACAGAGTTTTTTCATGAATGGATGCTGGATTTTGTCAAAAGCCTTTTCTGCATCTTCTGAAACAATCACGTGATTTTTGTTATTAATTTTATTTATTTGATATATTATATTTATTGATTTGTATATGTTGAACACTTTTTCCATCCCTGGTATGAAGCTTACTTGGTAATGATATACAATGTTTTTGATGATTTTCTTCATTCCTTTTGCTATTATCTGGTTGAGGATTCTTGGATCTAAATTAATTGCATAGATTGGCCTATAGTTCTCTTATTTATTTCAATCTTTGTATGGTTTTGTAATCAGGGTATGGCTAGCTTCCAGTAATTTGGGAAAATTCCTTCTATTTCAATTCGTATTAAAGAGTTTGAGGAGTATTGGTAGTAGTTCTTCCTTGAAGTTTGTATGGAATTCGGCAGTGAATGTATCACATTGTGAGATTTTCTTAGTTGGTAAGTTATTTTAATGACTGATTGCCTATTATTTGATTAGTCAAGGATTTTGTATCTTTTTGCTTCAGTTTTGGTAATTCATATTTACCTAGGAATTGGTCTATTTCTTCTAAATTTTCCAATTTATTGCAATTAAGATTTTTGAAGTAGTTCCTAATAGTCTTCTGGGTTTCAGAATTTTCCAATGCAATTTCAACTTTTTTTTCTTTCTAAATGCACTGTTGTAGTTCTGCGTGTTTTTCTTTTCTGGTCAGATTGGCTAAGGGCTTGTCTATTTTGTTTATTTTTTTAAAGAGTCACCTTTTCAACTCATTAATTCCTTTGAATTATTTTTTTAGTCTCAATTTCTTTAGTTTCTCTTCTGATCTTTGCATTTCCTTCCTTGTAATAGTTTTGGATTTGGAACGTACTTCTTTTTGTGGGACACTTAGGTGTACCAATAGTTTAGTTGTTTGGGCTTACTATGCTTTTCTAATATGGACATATATAGCTATAAATTTCCTTCTCAGGACTGCTTTGTTGTGTCATATATGTTCGGATATGTTGTACTGGGCTAATAATTTGATTCTAGGGACTGTCTACCTTCTTCCTTGATTTTCTTTGTGACTCATTACTTATTTAAGAGTATAGTGTTTAATTCCATGCATTGATATAATTTCTCTGGTTTCTTTTGCCATTGATTTCTAGTTTCATGGTGCTGTTTTTATAATATGTATGGTATAATTTTTTTTTTATTTTGGTATCGGAGATCAAACTCAGGACCTTGCGCTTGCAAGGCAGGCGCTGGAGCCACTGAGCTACATCCTCAGCCCTGTATGCTATAATTTTGATTCTTCTTCATTTATAAAAAGGTGCTTTATTGGATAGTATGTTGACTACTTTGGAGAAACTTCTTTGTGCTAATAAGAATGTGTATTTTATTGTTTGGTGAAACATTATGTAGATTTTTATTAAGTTCATTTGTTCAAATGTTTGGTTATACTGTGATATTTACTGATGATTTTTGTCAAGTTGATCAGTGTATTTGTGACAATGAGGTACTGAGAGCCCCCACTTTAATGCTGTTGATGTTTATCTGATCTTTCATATCCAGTAATGTGTCTTATATGAAGTTGAGTGCTCCAGGGTTTAACGGTGGATATACACTTATAATTGTTATCTCTTCTTGTTGAATCATTCCGTTAACCAACATGTAATGACCTTCTTTATCTGTTATGATCAGTTTGGCTAGAAGTCTACTTTGTGTGAAAATAGGGTAGGTTGTTGTAGTTTGCATTACATGGAATATCATTTTCTATCCTTTGATTTTTTAGTCTATGAATTTCATATTATATTAAATGTCTTTTTTGTATAAAGCATTTCATTGGGTTTTGTTTCATAATTCCTTCTGGTAAGTTGTGTCTTTTATTGGGAAATTAAGACTATTTATATTAAGAGTTATTATTGAACGGTAATGACTTATTCCTGCCATTGGATTATTTTCCTGGTGCTGATTTCAATTTTTTTCCCTTCTACTTAACTGCTCACCTTGCCTGGCGTACTTATAATATTAGATCTTTTGTCATTGTTAACTTAATTATCTCTTTCTAGATATCTTTGAGAATTTTTGTTTTGCTGGTTTGGTAGTCATGAATTTCTTTTTTTTTCTTTTTGGTACTGAGGATCAAACTCAGAATCTTGTGCTTGTGAGGTAGGAGGCAGAACCACTGAGCTAAATCCCCAGCCTAGTCATAAATTTCTTTAGGCAGTGTTTGTCTTGAAAACAGCTCATTTCTCCATCAGTTTTGAAAGATAGTTTTGAAAGATATATCTGTATGGGTTGCAAGTTATTTTTTTCTAAATGTTGAAACCCTTCACTCCAAGTTTTTCCAGGCTTTAAGTTTGTGTTGAGAAGTCTGCTCTAATGCTAATGGTTTATAATTAGTTTATAATTGATTCATTGTATTTCTCTAACCACTTTTATGATTTAGTCTTTGTGTTGGGCTTCTGAACTTTTGGCTATGATGAATTATGGAGAGGTTCTTCTCTGACCTTGGCTATTTAGGATTCTATATGCCTCTCTAATCTGTATGTTAAATTGTTTCCCTATATTTGAAGTTTTCTTTTATTATTTCTGAAAACATGTTTTTGTGCCATTTGTGCTCTTCTCCAATCTTTTTACTGATTTGAATTAATCTTAGTCTTCGTTGCAGTATTTGGGAGCTGTTGGATTTATTTTTCATTTTCCCTTTCACTTTTATATTTCTGCCTAATTGGTGTTGAGCAGCAGCCCTATTTTCCAGTTCTAACACTCTGTTTTCACACTGATTACTTCTGCTGTCCATAGTTGCATTAGAATTTTTAATCTCCTGAACTTTTGGTTGGTACTATTTCATGTATTGCAATTCTCTGCTAACCTAATAATCTGTGTTTTATATTATTTTGTTTAGCTCAGCTACATTTTTATTAGTGTCTTCTGTAAATTCACTGATTGTTTTATTAAGTCCATTAACAGTTTAATAATGACTTCTTTGATCTCACAGTACACCTAATTTATCTTCTTTTCATCTCCTCTTTTATCCTTCCAAATAATTTAGCTGTATGGCTCTCCCTCCCCCCCATTCCATGCCAATTTCCCATGGATCAGCTTTGGGGCAATTTTTAGAGACAATTTGTTTTCTTTTCTTCTCATGTTTCTATCATTTATTTACCTGTTTGTCTTGAGGTTTGCAGGTTCATCATTTTAGTGAAAGAGTTTAATGGTAGTATGAAGACCTCTTCAGTGTCTGCTTTACAGTGATGGGTTTTGGCCATGGCTAACTACAGATCTTTGTTTCTGTCCCAAGAATGAATCATCACTTTTTATTAGGAGGAAAGATTGCAATGTACTTGGCCCAGGCAATCCAGGTACTGACATACAGATAAAAATAATTCATTCCAACGCTTATGCCATGTTGGCAATAGGAAAAAAGTCCACAACAGTAATAGTGTCAAAGAAAAACTGGATTTTTTTTTTTTTTTTTGGTACCGGGGATCGAACTCATGTCCTTGAGCTTGCGCAGGAGGCGGCGAAACCACTGAGCTAAATCCCTGGCCCCCAAAACTGGATATTGATACACCCTAAGAACCAGTAATATACCATCCTTAACCATAAAGAGATCTATAAGTTTATTACCAACACTAATAAAAAAATAAGTTTGTATATGACACAGATCTACCAAATGCAACAACTATACCTCCAGTAGCAATAGAATAATATTCAAGAGTAATAGCATAGAATTAACAGTTACAAAGCCGAATGATTATACCAGTAAGGATAATGAGGGAGGGGAACTGGAAAATAAAAATGTAAAATTTGACATATTAATCAACAAGATAAGGAGAGAGAAAAGTATCCTTTTAAGGGTAAAAGGATATTCATATTAGATAAAAATAAGTAAAAAAAGACAAAGGAAAAAGAAAAAGTGGAGAGAAAAATAAAAGAAAACAGAAAAATAAAGAATTAAAGGAAGAAAAGAAGAGTGAAAAAAAGATAAATTCCAAACCCCAAAAAGCCAACAAAGGAAAATAGAAACAAAAAATGTGTCAAAAATATTTCCTTTTTGAATCAGTGGTTTCTTTTCAGTATCTACAGTCTTGGGATCCAGGAACTCATGATTTTTTCATCTGTGGGTTCGTGAGGTGCTCCCTCTCTCCACTGGTCCCTCTGTGTCCCAGCCAAGATGTGTTCTTGCTCAGGTTGGTAGACAGGGGCAGCATTCAGACCACTGTTCTCTGCAGGATGTAGGACCAGGGCAGGGGTTCACGTAGACTGCTGGACTTACTGCTAACACTGTCAGATCCTCCCACTCCTGAAAGCTACTGAAAAGGCTTACTTTCTCATGACGCCGAGCAGGGCCCATATCCTTATATCCTTCTCACCTCAGCATAAAATTTGGGGGGTATCTGTGTCTAGTCTGCAACCTCTCTAGCTGTCTCTTCCCAGTTACTGTGGAAGGATAGCTAACACTGGCAATCATGAAATGGATGTCTTCTGTAATCGTAATGTGGCTTAGTCTTCAACAACGAATCACTTCCTAAAATGGCGCCCAATTAAACTCTAACAGGTGCTGCACTGGGTTTCTTCTCCAACTCTATTCTGCTGTAAAATCACTTTCAGAGTAAAACCTCACACTGTTTTTGTAGCTTACAATAACTAGGAGCTTTTCTTGGGTATGATGCTGTTGGCCCAGCCCATTATTTTTCCCTGGAGGTGCCAACTTTATGGTGCTTACCTTCTCTCCCGGGGCATTCAGTTCAGTAAATTTGTCAGCACTTCTGGTGCCCTGTCCTGAGGGGAAACAAAATGAAATGTGTGTTTGGAGTTGATGGGTATAATTTTAATTTTTAATTTAGTAAATAAAATGAAATGCATTAATTAAATACACATTAATGCTGCCTTCAATTGTTTAAAAAATTTTTTAAAGTTTTCAGACTCTCTAATGCTAAGGAATCATGGCAGTATCAAGCCACAAAGAAAAGCAAAGTACCTCAGAAAACTGAACATCTGCTGCTCTTTCACAGGGTGTTAGCAAGACTGGTTTGCTTTTATTTGTTATCTCTTTTTCTTTAGACGATGCATGGAAGAATCCCTCCCGTAAAAGTTGAAGAAAGCTAATGATAACAGACAGTTATCCTTTTACTTTCAAATTATAAATATGTGTACAGTCATCCAAGGGAGTAAATACAAGAGCACTTCATGAACTAATTTATAACAGAAGAGCCCTTCCAAAATGTGACAGCTTCTGGAGCAACATTTGGCTTCTGGATATTGACAGGTGAAGGCTAAGGACTAAACAAAATTAAGATTCTTTACTCACTGGGTGAAAGGAGGAGCAATTAACATATTGGCACTGATTGGAAAACAAAATCTGTATTTAAGTTAAGAAAAATGGAAAACAGCAACAGTAAGTTTATTGGCAGAATACAAATCCATTCCGTTAACCCTTACATTTTTCCAAGAAAATGGTATGGAAAATATAAGAAACAACTATAAATAACTTGAGCAGTCATGCTTTTCTGTGGTGCAGAAATGGCTAAATCCCGAATGCCACTATGGCCAAAACTTCTCCCAGCTTTTCAAGCTGAAAAAGAAATGAGATCAAGACAGTGTTTTGGATTGGGCTTAGATTAGCCACAGATGGTGTATGGCAGAATATACAAACAAACCAAAAGAATAAGTATTCCGTATCAATTTCAAATAGATAGAAAATTCATCTAGATAAAAGAACAAAAAATTAGATGTTAAAGAGAGTAACATTTAAAATGGAAGAAATGAGATTTACATGTTGAACATAAATTTAAATCTTTAGATAATGATACAGACTAGACTATATTTAAAGAAACAGAGCTTCTTAAAATAACAATGTTAAAAATATTCAAAAATTTAGAAAATAGTGATAGAATAATTTGATTGATATCTCAAAGGTATTTTTTAAATTACTAGGTAGAAAATATAAAAAATGATAAATGCAACCTATGGCATGAGCATACCAATAAAAAAGTCATTGGATTTGTAAAGAAATCAATGGAAATTATCCACACAGCAAATAATAGTTAAAGGGAAGTTATCCAAAATGCAACAAAAATAGGAGGATGAAATTTAAAATTTAAAAACAGCAAAATATCAAGGTCACAATATTGAACAATTTATCATATATATAGATTGAATAGATCTGCAGTAGTACCTCATTCACCAACTTAATTGTTTTCATGATTCAGTTTGCAAACTAAATTGTACAAGAACAGAATCAAATTCAATGGTTGGGTTCAATATTGATCTCATGGAGAAATTTGATTTGGTTCTCATCCAGTTCAGTTTGCAACCAGAATTGTGGAAAGAATTAATTTATTTTATTTAATTAAAAAAAATTTAATGAATTTTATTGGTACATTTTAGGTATACAATATAATGACATTCATCATTGGAGATATGCATCTTTACATACTCTCTTGGTTCTTATTTTTTCCCCCTTCCCCTGCCCTACCTTCAACACCTCCATCCCTCCCTATTTACAATGACTTTGTTTCCATTTTTTCATTTTCTCATATTAATTCCTTTTCCTTCTTTCTTTTCCCCTACCCCTCCCACTTCCCCTTCCCCTTTGCCCCTTTTCTTCCTATTTCACATTATCTATTATACCTTAGTCCTTATTTACACTTTAAGTTTTTCACACTAGAGAAACTATTCAGTATTGACACGTGTCCTATTTATTTCACTTAATAGTGAAATAAAGAAAATGTGAGTTTTTTTATAAAATGGAGTACTGCTCAGCCATAAAAAATGAGAAATTAGAGACATTTATAGCTAAATGGATGCACGTTGAGGTGATAGTTTTAAGTGGAAAGAATTAATTTCATGAGCTGAGTCACCAGTATATTTTTTTCTTAATTTAGTGAACATCATAAATTTAAGACATTTCAAAAATCAAAAGCAGATTATATTCAACAAAACACCAGATATGTTGCATCATAGTTGTATTAAATTTTTGTCACTGTGTCCAAGTACCTGAGAAAGTCCATTTAGAAGAAGAAAGGTTTATTTTGGCTCATGGTTTTAGAGGTTTCAGTACATGGCAGATGATTCTGAGGCAGAACTGTCACGGCAGAAGGGCATACAGGGGGAAGGCTGTTAAACTCATGGCACGTGAGAAGGTAGGGGCAAGGAAGAGCCTGGGAAAAAATGTCTGGCGAAGTAGGCCCTCAGGTCATGCTCCCTTGACCCACTGAGACACACCAGAAGTGTGCTTTCCTACTCTTCTAGGTGTTTCTCCAGCCATTCCACTTAATAATCACAATAGTTAACCTGTAGAGATAAACCTAGGTGGAAAATTTGAAAGTAGCCTAAAAGTTAAAAAAATGATGTACAATTTACAGTGAAATGAGGAAAAATATAAAAGCTATTTTTCAGTAAAAATTATGTCATCTAAGAGGATGAAAAAACAAAGGACATATTTAAAATGTTGAAAGCAATAAAATCTTTCAAATTTTTGGTTGAATGGTCACTAAAATAATTGTTCGAACTAAGGTAAAATGAAGAGAGGTTCAGATAAATTACAACAAAAAAATTTGCTACTCTCAGACCTGAATTACAAAAACTGAAGCGTAAAAATTTTCCATGTTAAAGAGATAATATATCAAGTTAATATTTGAATTTATAGAAATGAATAAAGTACATTGTAAATGGTAAATGAATGAGTTAGTATAATAGGCTATTTTTGTTTTTCAGAATTTCACCAAGCTAGTTTAACTGTTCAAAACAAAAACATAATTGCAATATGTGGTATTTAAATCATATATAGTAGTGAAATAATAATGAAAACATTGACAAAATAAACTAAATGATACTATATTAGTTTTTATACTATTCATGAAGTAGTAGAATACTGATACCAAGCCACAAATTAAGGATTGATATGAATGAAAATTTTTATGCCAAATATAAAGAATGAATATAGAAATTCTGCACCAAAAGTAAAGTAGAACACTAAAAGTATCAATTTATCTAAAAGAAGACTATAAAGGAGAATGAGAAGGCAGAATGAAAGAAGAGAATGAAATAATCTGAAAACTCTAAGGCAAGTAAGAAAAAACAGAGTAAGATGACTTAAACATAATCACCTTAGTACTTGTATAAATATGAATGACACATATTTCACAGAAAAATAGACACCTTAAAATGTGTGTAAAAACTACATGATATTCACATAATATGGAGTAAATGTGGAATTAAAATTATTTACATTAAAACCAATGGAGAAATTATTCATGTAAGGACTAATGAATAATGCTGATGTGACAATTTAATATTAGAAAAATTTGACTTAATAGTGACATTACCAAATTTGAACCCTAGCCCTAACCTAAATATATTTGCACATAATAAAAGATTTCTAAACTATGATTAGAACTGGAATTAAGGTACAACTAAACCAAAAAGACTAGTAGTTGACTTTACCTTGCTACTCTTAGGTACTGATGGAAATAAATAAACAATAGAATAAGCAAGCAAATAAAATACATGAAAACAGTATTAATTATGGTGGATATAGAAACAGACACAATTATAATACACATATATTATGTACATATGTAAGTTAATTAAGATAAACTATATTATAAAGCATAAAACATGTCTCCATAAATTTTAGATTACTAAAATATACACAGGACATTTGTTACAGAAACAAAATGGAAAATTAAAATAGAGCTCTAAAATCCCAAGTACTTAGGGGATATGGAAATTATTTCTAAAGAAAGCATGAGTTAAGAAAAGAAATCACAAAACCGTTTTCAAAAACACACTCCCACTTACCTTCTTCCTAACAGGACTTTCCTCCTCATGTGCCAATCACTCTTCAATAGCTCTTCAAACTATGCATCTATCAAGCTTACCACCCTGTTATGCCATCACAGCCATGCAGAGTCCTGTCTCCGAACACCCCTGCCTTGGAGAAATTTTGCAACATGTCAGTTGAGGGACTTTTCATATCTAAACTATTACACCATTGTAGCTCTGACCTTATCAACTTGCCAAGGGTATTTCAATAGAAATAAATGCATATAACATTGTTAACAAAATAGTAATGTAGACAATTAAGTAATATATTAAAAAGGGGACATCTCAAGCCTAGCATGGATTTGGATAGTTACTGTAAATTTATCTTGAAATTAAAAAGAAATGCACGATATTTAAACAAAATATTTGAGAAAATTGTAAATTTTAATAGAGGTAGAAACAATATGTAACAAATTTCAACACTAGTGCCTGTTGAAAGAAAGAAAGAAAGAAAGGAAGAAGAAAAAGGAAAATTTCTTTAAATAAGGACAGGTAAAAGCTTTCCTCATTGGAAAAAGTATCTACAATAATTTACAGCTAATTTCATAGTTAATGATGAAAGACAGAATTCACCCTCCCTAATAGTAGAGAAAAATACATGCATACTCATTATCATTAGATCGCCTATAAAATGCAGTAAGTCAATAAAATTATTAAAATTAGAAACATGGGGAAAATAAGTTAAAATTCAAATATGGGGAACATTACAAATCTGAGGAAAGTTGAAAGTACAATTATTTGCAGGAGAAAAAATTGAGATATCTAATTAATATACAGCACTGTCTAATACACTGTGTAAATTTAGTGAGTATTCAAGCCAAAGGTCAATATACATAAGGCAACTGCATTTCTATACTAATGAAATACTGGAAAATAAAATGAAACCATCAGCATCATTTATGAGAGCATGTAAGTTTAGCAAAAGATAGATATCTTCAAGGAAAACAAAATATTTCTTAGAAACATTGCAGACATAAAGCTATCTCAAACTGTGGAAGACATGATGCTCGTGTGTTGAAAGAATGTCTTAAAATTGCTATGAGAAAGTTCTGCAAATTAGGAGGCTTAAACCATAAATATTTATGTCTGAGTTCTGGAAGCTGGCAATGTCAGTGTCTGCCCAGGGTTTCTTTCAGGTTTTTGGAAGGTCACCTTCTAGCTGTGTCCTCAACTGGGAGCAGGGTGGGTTAAAGAGCACTACAAGCTCTTGTTGCAAGAACAGTAATCCTGTCTCAGAGGCTCCACCTTAATGACCCTGTATAACCCTTTTAAACCATTAAACTTTCTATATTAATCCCATCAGATAAGAAGGTAGGATTTTAACATGAATTTAGACAAGAGAGACTCCAAAATGAAAACTAAATGTTATAAAATGTAAATTCTCTTTTATATTTTCCCGTAGGAACTTGACATCAATAAATTCCCAGTAGATTTGTTTTCAAGAAATTGTTAAGCTAATGATAAAATTTAATAGAAATATGAAGTACTGAGAAAAGTCATAAACATGATCTCTCCATATCCTTTCCAGAAGCTATTCTTCCAAACATCTTGTAGGATTAGTAATACTGAGGAGATAGAGAGTTATCCTCTTATCACTGAATGTACGTAAATAACCACACAAAACTAAAGAAAGCTGTACATCATCATAATACTGAATTTTTTATAAAATGTGCACTTTTCAATACAAAAAATGTAGAATCTTTCTTTTGGTATTTAAAGTTTTATCTACATTTACATGAATATGTAATATTGAGTAATTATGGCATTTACTTAAACAAAATACACTCATTTTCTTTCATCTTCCAGCCCCACTGTCAGTAGTGAACCACAAAACTAATTTTTGGTCATGTATTAATTTGAGTAGAACAACTCATACAAGACAGTAAGCAGCTATCTAACTGTACACAATCAATTGTATGATTACTCATCTAATTTTAAAATCGACTTATTTTAACATGTTGGATTTAAATAGAGTAGTCTATTTAAACCAATCTGTTCTCATTCACAACTCTAATTTTTCAGCTTTGGAGATGAGTCTCTTGGCTTGTCCATAGCTTCAAATGATGTTCATGTTGAAATCATGAAATAATGTAGCATTTATCACAGGCGAAGTATCTATTTATCTGTTTTGGCTGTTTTCTTTCTTCTAACGTAATGTTCAAGAAGATTAACATAACGATTCAGATGTGATTATGTCAAATAATATATATGATCACTGAGAAAAAGGTCTATGAACTCTGCCTGTGTTCCTTTAAAATTTGTCAAAAGGTTTAATATTCTCTCCTCAGATTTGAATGGCTTCAGAAAAAAAAAAAAAGGAAATAATCCTGTCAATCACATTTCTCAGGTCTTACATCCTTTGCACTAAGTTTGTGTTTCTACTTTGACATGTTCCTACTGAATATTAAAAGTAAGCTTATTTTTTTTAAATTCTAAGATGAATTATTCTTCTTGAACAGGCCAAGCTGTTCTAAATAGCCTACTGCTGACAGTGCTTAACTAAAGTCAACAAAGAGGAGATAAGGCTTACTGGTATTGTTTGTTGAAATATTAATACCAATTCCGCTGTAAAAATGATAAATACTTTAATAAAGATAGCTTGTTCCTCACCAAAGTTTGCAGTACTGTCTATTCTATCCATGCAAGAGTATTCTCAACAGACAGATTTAATCTCACAAAAGATATGGGTTACTAAAATGTGGCCATCTTACAAAAGTCCCAGAAGCTTTGAAAATAAGCAGCCAAAGTAAGTTAGCTAGATTTCACATCCTTTAAAATCCTACACATCTTTTCCTAATTAGCTTTTTAAAGAGCTCATTCATTTTATTTAAGCTACAACTTCACAACTATACCTCTAAAATATTTATCTAACATGAATGGTACATTTTGTTGTGTGTTTCTTTTGTTTTTGTTTCTTTTTGTTTATTTTGCAGAGTTTTTTTTATATAGAAACATTCCCTTGAACTTCATGAATTCAGAAGATATCATAAATTATGGCTCAGGCTAAATTGTTGAGCTGAACTTCGATGGTAGAAACATTAGGTGCTAATTTGTTGGCAGAGAAGCCCTGAGCCATGTGCTGATTATGAAAGTGTTCAGTGGGGCCAACACCACTTCAGTTTCATGAGCTTTTTGTGTGACATGGCACATCAGATCTGCCAAGCTTGGGGCCATCTGGAAAGAGAATACCAGTCAGGGATCTGATTTTATTTCAAAAAAAGAATGTAGGTGCATATTAAAACAACATTCAAAAAGAGATAGACATACATGGAAACATGACAGTTGTTTGTATACAAAATATACAAACACATACACCATGTTTTGTACGAAATAGACATATCACATACATATGTTATGCACATATGTATGAAAATATGCATGTATTGCATATATGTAACATATAATATGTAAGATACAATATGTATATAATTATATATCATCTATAATTATTTATGCACATGTATTTATATATAATTATATATAATGTATATAATTATAATATATAATATTACATATATATGTGTAAATATGGGCATCATCATTCTTTGAAATGAATAATTCTCTAAGGCAGTTGTGTATGTATCAGATCAATTTTCTGTTTTACTTTAATCTAATCAAGCAATACTATAGTAAATAATCTGTTAAAATATATCTGAATAGTTAAAAATTACCTCCTTTATAGTTATTTATTCAGTAACAAATTAAGCACACTGTTTTATTGGGTATTTTATTAGGTATTGAGACAATCAAAATAAAAGAACTGGAAAGGACTAGAGCTGAGGAGTATGAGAATGAGTGGAGGTGAAGTAGACACAAAGGGCATTGGCAAATCAACACTAAAAGCACGGAGACGGAGGTAATTATGGTAAAAAAAAATATTACCTTTGTTTCAGGAGATGTGAAGTAGTTTAAGAAGGTGTATATAAAACACCTATTTGTCTTTTGAAAAAAAAAAAAAGGTTGCTTTTAGTAAGATGGTGTTGCAGAAATCTCGGAAAGAAATACACAGAGACATAGAATTCGGATAAAATCATAAAATTTCTTCTCGCGAGTGGGCGGGGCCGCAGAAACCAGTCTGGTCAGTATCCCAGCACCCCCTTTGTTCAGCATTTCCCTTTTTATATCCTTTTTAGCCATCATCTCATCCTTAGTGGTCTTTGATATGTAAGTACAATTCCAGTTCCTATTTACAAGTCACAGACACAAGATAGGCCATATATATTGTAAATTCACCCTGGCATGGTAACTTTGTTAGGTTAATGAAGTTATGGGTTAGAGTCAGATAATCCTCACCTTAGACAAGGAGTTAGGGGAAAAGCAAATCTTAAAAGAACACATTACTTATTTTGCTTCTACAACTACCTTAATATTCAATCTATTAAGTTGTCTAAAACTTTTCCATATCAATGGCACATTCATTGGAATCCTTTTCTAGAAGTGGAATTGTTTGCTTTCATATTTCTGGAGTCTCATATGTGGTATATGCAAGTGTTAATTCATTCATGACAAACTAATTCTGTGCACATTCTTTCTATATCCCCATTTACCAATCTGATAGGAGGAAATTGTTTATCAGTAGTCAGGTTAGTAACTTCAAAACATCATATTGATCTTCAGAAATATCTTTTTTTTTTTTTTTTTCAGTGCTGAGGGTTAAACCCAAAGCCTTGCAAATGCTAGGCAAGCACAAGACCAACTAACCCACACCCCAAATACACTGGCAATTCTGTTTCTGTTAGGGATCCGTGCTTACTTTGTCCATGACATTTATGGGATGAAGATCCAGAATGAAGTGGGAACAAGCAAAATACCTGAGAGGTAAAAAGAGTAAGTTATTTAAGACTCAGGTGCCCAATACTTTTTTATGTTATGATACTAAAGTATAGGAAGGAATAGATATGCAAATTTTATTTGATTCAAATTTTTCGATTAGTATGTATTATGATTGTTTTCAACTAAACACAGAACCTATATTTATAAAGATATATTTACAGTGCTATTTCTAAATTCATTTTCAAAGAGTCACAAATGATCACAATTTTCTACAGAAACTTAGAGATTACCATCTTAGCAAATGT